AGAAAAAAGCATCTCTTTCCGGCCAGAGCATCCCAGGATGCTAAGAGCCAGTTTGGGAGATGTTTAAGGGCCATACACATTCCCCCACCCAGCAATTGGTAACCTGGGATCCTCTGGCTTCATTCCCGCCTCGCTCCTGGCAACCAGTTATGCCACAGTTGTCAGGAGCTGGGCAGGATGCAAGCCAGAGCGTCCTAGCTTGCTAAAAGCTGGGCACAGAGATGCAGAGCCTGCAGGGGGTAGTGTCACTCTTCTGTCTGGCAGTGCCAGTTACCGACCTGTAGCTGCTCTGAGTGCATGCATCACCACTCCCACGCCCCGCCTCAGGCGGCAAAAAGGGACAGCACTAACTCCATGCATTCCAAGATCAAATATAATATGGCTCCTGTGACATCATCACAGGTGCCTCTGGGGTCTTCAGGATGCTTAAGGTGACAGGAGAGATCCGAAATGGCGCCCTGCATTTTGGAAGGGCTCTTTAGCATCACTCAGGGAACTCCATGCATTCCAAGATTGAATGTTAAAAATAAATGAAACTTTGGTTGACATCCATCAAGTCTCTGATGACATTATTGAATGTTCTAATGAAATTTGCCATACGAAAATCTAACTGGTGTCTGGTAAGTTTTACACATTTGGGAAGCTGGAAGTTGCATAATTTGTGTGGAAAAACAATCAATGGTTTAAATATATTCCCAGAAATCAGAATAGCTAATGAAGATATTATACAAACAAAACTTTTATGTGATAAAAAATGTTTTAATAAAAAATATTGTATTTGACTTCAGCATCCCCTGAAATGAATGTGATTGAGTGGGAGGTAGTTTATATCACTAGCGGTTATCAGTCAATTAGCAAGTGCTAACATCCCTGACATTTGCAGTCAGTGCAGACTAGCGATATGCTACTTATTGAGATAACACATTCACACGTGCACAGTATCACTGTTATCAGCAGAATATTGCTAGACTAATGGTGTCTGGACAGAAGGAGGATTAGACTTAATTGAAAAAGGAATGTTATCCCACGCTCATCAGAAATATTGGTGGCATCCTTTGTTCTTATTCTAAGATAAACTAGATCATGGAAGGATGAATATCACCTTGTAATTATCAGATGCACAGATGTAGGCTGAGCCACTGAAATGTGGAGCAGCAGGGAGCTGTCACTCACAGTTGTTGTTTGAGACCCTGCTAAGTCCAAATGCTGGCCTCCCAAAGTGCTAAGCTTGGCTGTCAAAGAATGCCTGTCCTCTGGAGGTTTGTCACTTGGACACATTTGTAAGAAAAAAAAAATCTGTTTGTTTTCTGTACTAATGCTTTAGCCAAGGATCTAAAACACGTTGCGGCAGCCATGAAGTTTTCAGAATGCAATGGGTACATCCATTATTCAAAGACACAGCCATGATGGTAATTTATAATATAGAATGATATAAGATATAGAATGATATGATAAAAAGACAGAACATTTTTTGACCCATTTCTTGTTTGCAGTTCATTTCAAGTCAGACAGACATCTACAGTCCTCATGCTTATTTATATAGCTTACAGCCCATCTGATACCTCAGTGGACGATGGAAAAGATAGGGCTGTATTATGTGCCAAGGCCTGCCCGCAGTGCTGCTCTCATCATTCAGATCCTTATGAAGTCCATGTTTAGCAGCAGATCAGGGATTTTTTTCTATGGTTGAGGTCCTAGGTAAGGTCGAAGTTTTGCACCCCATCTCTTCTTGATATTGGTAAGGATTGCAATGGGCACAGAGAAGCCGCCCCATTTACATTGTCCATTCTGGCATGTCCTGCCCCCATCAGACACCAACTTCTTACAAATGACAAGCAGGTGCATGGCTTTCGCAAATTGCTCTATCCCATTCATTTACTACAGGGGCATGTAGGTTGTAACTGGACCTTCTGGACACCCGTTGAGCCTTAAGGAGGAACCAGGGAAGGGACAATATAAGTAGAGTAAATGTCACCTTTAATATCAACATATATATACATGGATTTATATATGACCTTTACCTCCCCAACCAAATGATGCCTGCCTGTGATCTGGAACTAATAAATAAATGGTTATTTATGGATTTGGTCATTCATTCCGTCTTCTTCTGTTATAAGAGGAATAGGAGAACTTTCAGACATAAACACTGCACTGTTTACATCTGTAACTGGTTATCACAGTGATCACACAGTACAGAGTCACTTGGAATCAAGTGTACATACACTTTAAGGCCGAACTTCATGTATAAATTCTTTTGCATGCTTACATTGATCCACCTTGCCCCAATGTAAGTATACACATGTCATACCTAATTGGCCGCTGGGGATAATGTAAAGCACTGTAGTAGCTACTACAGTAGGTGTAAAGCTGCCCATACACCTTGCGATCATCCGACTAAACTTTTCGTCCGATGGTCGAACCGTCGTACGATTTTCGTACAGTGGCCCCATCCTGCCCCAATTATCGCAAGGTTGGATCAGCAGTAATTAAAAGAAAGCACCTGAACAAATTGCGGTAACCGACCGCACGTATTTTCGTCTGTGCATGTGCAGTGTAAATCGTACGATTTTCGCAAAGGTTGGTGGCGTTTGCGTACGTCAAAATTCGTACAATCGATCAACGTTTTCGAACCTGCTGGTTAGTCAAAAGTCGATCGATTGTACAGTATTTGTGGTTGTACACTGCCTATCAACCTTATGAATATGGGAAGAAAACGCGATTGCATACGAAAATCGGCCAATATTCGTAAGGTGTATGGGCACCTTAAGACTATAGAACAACTCCCCTCTTCCTGCGACCAACACTGTGATAGCTACTACAGGGCTATCTTCTGGGTCCTGCATGGTGCTGTGCTGAAAACACAGGGGCTTGTTTGCTCAGCACAGTGGCCATTCAGAGAACGGATATTTTTTCAATGAATACAAGGAGGGTGGGGCGGGATTTATCAAAACTGGAGCAGACAAAATCTGGAGCACATTTGCACTGCAGCCAATCAGCTTCTCTGTCTCATTTTCAAGTCTTACCTGAGCAAACTGAAGAGAGCTGCTGATTGGTTGCCATGGGCAACTGCTCCAGATTCTGTTTGCTCCAGTTTTTATAAATTCCCCCCATTATGTTCTCTGATTGGACAGGGGGTGGTGACGTCATGATCTGCCCCTCGTTAAATCAGAGAACGCTTTGCATAGATTGATAAAAGTATTAGGCATTCTCTGAATGGCTGAGGTGCCGTGCAAGTGACTCCCTGTGTTTTCAGAGCAGAGGGGAATCCTCTCAGCACAGCGTCATCCAGGATCCAGAAGATTGCGTCCAGCACTGTGCTAGCTCCATGCACAGTACTACAGTGCTTTTCAGGATCCCCAGTGGCCGATCTGGTATGATGTATGCATACTTACATTGGGCCAAGCTGCAACTTAATTCATACCTAGAGTGCGCAGTGCAGTGTGGTGCTAGTCTTGTAATGTATTTGTCCACTGAGGCCAGGCTGTTAATCCAGAAATAATGGTACATGTTTAGGAATGGCAAAATGGTTTTATTGATTGGAACTTGTATATTGTGAGATCATTTGGAATAAATCCTTTTTTTCCCCCGTCTTAGCTGAAGTCGATTGATACAATAAATAAGTGAATAGTGGGAGTGGAACAAAACTGAGAAGAAAAAAAGTGAAATGTAATTGCTACACCGTTAGCAATATGTTTCTCTCTAATTTGCTGTTGTCGTGGAGCCTAGCTGTGCGACGCTTTCACCTTCTGCTGCCTGTGTCTGTGCCAGCTCCTGTCCCTTAGGTGTACACTGAGTAATGCTTTGGTCTCCTGCCAGATCATTCTAGAAATGTCACTTTATTTGCATCTTTTCAAGATTCTTTTTTTTTTTACAGTATTTAAATGAAATCAGAACATCTGCATTTCTGCTCTGCCCCCATTTTTTGGTTTTGTAAATGAAAATATCTTAATGCATTTTAATTTAAATCAATATTTTAATTGCCTACAGAGCTGGATTCTGTGTGACATGAAAATAAACTAAAACAAGCAAATCTGTGCTGAAAATGTTTATTGAGGATTCATTTGTAGGGGTGGTGGATGGAGGAGGGCATCAAGCATTCGTGTTGTTCAGCCTTCACCCAGCCTGCGCTGACATCACCCCCTCGGAATGGCTTCGGGCAGCCTAGAAACACCCGCTAAGTCCCACCATTGACATCCTTGTGAGCTTAGCCACAAAGAGTGACTTACTATTGTGAGATTTAGCTTCCAATGGTAGTGCATTAAGCACGCATCCACTCGCTTATGACTTCCTTTAAGGGCTTCCTTGCCCACTTTTATTAAATGAAGGTTCACAAAATAATGTGATTACTCTCGCAGGGGTTTTCAAACACAAAGTACAGTTTTCTTTCTTCATCTAAAATAGCACTTTCAAAGTCCACCGACTTTAGGTTGTCTGATTACCAAATGCTTTTCACCACACAGGTGACACACTTCTCTGTCCGCCAGCCACAGACTGGTCCCGGGGGTGGAGCCCTCCTGACTCCTGCAGAGACCTCCTCTGTCACCCAGGTGGAGCCTGCATCCTCCTCATAAGGGCTGTGCACAGGTGCAACATCATATGGTGCTGTTCACCACTAAACCACGGACCCAGGAATGGAGATTTCATCCCTCCCAGTTCTCTTAGAAATCTCCCAGTTCCAAAATCCCAGTTATAACTTAGAAAATCCAGAAAGAATTGAAAAGCCAGCTCTTTTCTGGTAAAAGTATTTCCGTCCTGGAACTGCTCAGCCCCTCTGAGAGTCCTGGGTGACCATTTGCCACTCTACACAGTGGTATTGCCACGCACTGCCACACTATGCATAGCAAAACTTTAAAACTGAAGTTTCATCTGCTGATATTTTGCCTGCCCTGGTAACCCTCCCCCCATCAACATGCTAATCATTTTCTTTAATTTTAGACTTAGTGATGTCATCACTGGGTCTCTGTGCTTCTCACATTTCCTCAGTCCTGATACAAGCAGTGAGCTGGCTCTTAGCGGCAGTTATGCAAAGATCAAAATGCTTTGATGGGTGGATGTCAGTCAGTAGGAGTAGCAGTTTCTAGGCAGGCAGCATTTGCATGCAAATCAACTGAAGTAACGTCCACATGTGATACTGAGCCTCCATGATTGAAAGAACTGAAATCCAATGAATGAAAGGGGCAGTCCAGGGACAGTATCAAAGGTCTTGCGATGGTCGTAAGGTGTATGGGCACCTTTAGGCTGAGCAGAAAAGAGCTAGATGATGTTGAATGTCCTCCAGCCAGAAAATGAGGTGGGCTTTGACTTGCTGCAGCTTAGCTCACAGTGTATAGTAAAATCAGAGTGTGCATTTTCAGTATGGGAAAGGAGCCTGTACAAGTGTGCAAGATGATAGTAAGGCTGAAGTTCAGCTTTCAAGTGTACCTGTTGTGAAAACAATGAATAGCAGGCACCTTTAGGTACCTGTTTGGCACATCTGATCTATCGCATAGTTCCTCTGCACTCCTAAAACTCACATTGCAAGTACCAACTGGCTAGTAAGTAAGACTATATAAATAAAATCTCACCACAGATACAAGTTAAACTACGAAGGTGAACCCTGGGATTAGCAAACATTGCCTAAATACAAGAGTCCTGTGTATTCTTCAATGGAGTGCACTGTGTATTTCTTCCACATCTGTGCAGTAATCCAGTGTGAACCTTTGCCTCTGTGTAGGAGCTTCCTGTAATAAAGACCAGTCACTGCTGCAATCTCTCCTTGTGCAGGGTGACTGGTCTTGTCTCCGCCCCCATCCTGTAGTTTTCTGCAGGCAGCCTGTAGTAGGTGTGGCCTGCTGTGTCCCTCCCACAGCTCTGCTCTCAGACAATGTACAGTACACTGATGATGTCACTGCTAGTAAAGCGGGTAGTATCTGTGTTTGCAGATCCATTTGGTGCACGTAAGTGGATTTATATCCTTTGTGTTTGTTGCAGAGTATATTTACAGGAATGTTTTTGTGCTTGGAGCTCAACTTGTAGCCAAGCTGTACTGCAGGAAATATGGGGGCTACCATGGCCAAATATGTTCTTAGGTTGCCCTGTTCATAAAACATCAGCACCCTTAAAATGTAGGCAGTTGTTTCCTCTAGGGCACAGCAGAGCAAATGATAGAACTACAAAGCTTTATTTTAATGAGCAATGTTGTATTAAAGTAAGATATCCTGATATGGGAAACACCATGGGGGCTTCTGACAAGTGTGCAGGATGGTAAGCCAAAGAGAAAACGCAACACCTGATCTCTATATCTTGTTCCAGCTCGGTAACTCGAAGTGTATAGAAACCGCTGAAATATCATGGCAGTCAGGCAGCCGGCATGTTCTGGAGAAAACTTTGTATTTCTCTCAGTACAAGTTACCACCTAAAGATCTCCGGGAATTAACAAAATTAACCCTTGCAGTGAGGCTAAACCGACACTGCAAGGGTAACTGCTCATTTTAGACTAGGGGCTCTGTAAAAGAAGATACTCACATGATCCTCGGTCTCGCTTGGTTGGTAGACTGGTCCTCACAGTCTCTTCTCCTCCAGGCCCCGGTAGTCTGAGGGCCCGTGATGTCATCACATCTAAAGCAGGTCCATTCACCTGCAGTAGCCGCATGGACACCAAGGGACATACCACAGCCTCTGGGGAAAAACAAGTAGTTAACCCTTGCAGTGTGGGGGTAGCTCCACTTTAATTTGTTAACTCCTGGAGTTCTTCTTTAACTTCTATTTCAGATATAGGTGGACACTGTTCTTACCATTCTGTCCTTTGCATCCATGATAAATCGTCTGTATCTTATGTGGATCTGTGCTCTGTCTGCAGATTTGAAAACAAGACATACCTTGTAGCTGGAGACATGAAGACCATCATGGTTAACATTTCATTGTTCAATGCTGGTGACGATGCCTATCAATCCACCCTACAAATGAGACTACCCAGAGGACTTTTCTTCATCAAAGTTCTGGACCTGGTAAGAGACTTCTATAACTACTTGATATGGATTGGATGTCACTCTAGTCATTACAATAATGTTTCCTTCAATTTGATTATAGAATGATATATAGGACCAGAGTAGTTTGATTCTAGTTTCTGGTTCAACTAAGTAAGCTCTTCAACCTAAGTATGTGTAAGCACCTAAAGGGGTTGTTTCAGACCCAGCACATCGTTTTGACTTCTGTTTTTTTATGTCAGGGGCATCTCTATAATATCAGGAATATATAGGGGGGTATACAAGGACTTTCTTATTATTTCCTGTATGTATGTAGCACCAACATGTTTCAGTATCTTACAGACGACATAAAGCCATTCAGATCAGTCCAAACCTCAGAGACGGTTACAAGCCAATTCACAGTCATACAATAGCAGAGCAAGTGACACTTGTAGCCCATTGATAACTTCCTCCAGCTCCATAAAGGAAGATCTGTAAGTCCTTATGGACTCAGGGCTGCAGAGTTGGAGGAGCCTGTACATTGCACCCCGGACCCACTGATTGTGGTTGCAATGCTTTGCAGGCTCAAATGCAAGAAATTATTCCATGCGCATTTTTCTTTTTACAGTATGAGTGCATTGTTTTTTTTACTGCAAAGTGGACAATGTCTTTAACTCTTTAATGATTTAACGTAGATTAAAACCCTAACTGAAAGAAATGTATTTTGTCAAAGCATTGTGTATCAGGAACAATTACCATTCTTTAATTAAATACTGGTTTGGCCTGTGCTATATCTCTGCAGCCACATCCTGTCTACATGGATTTCATTATTTATTACAGGTATTTACATAGAGCCGACAATTTACGCAGCACTTTACATAGTTGCACAGTCACATCGGTCCCTACCCTCAAGGAGCTTACAATCTCAGGTCCCTATCTCACGTGCATACATACAGGGCCAATTTAGACAGGAGCAGATTAACCTTCCAGTATGTCTTTGGAATACAATGCATCGATACCGGATTTTCAATATCGAGTATGAGTACCAACAGTTATATTTTGGTACTCGCTGATACCAAGTACCGATACCAGTACTTCCACAAACACGGAGCTGGCTTCCCGGGCAAACAAGAAGCCGGGCAATGCCATGCCGCCCAGCTTCTTGATTGCCCGGTAAGCTGGCTCCATGCTGTTTGGCCGGCTCCATGCTGACTGGCCGGGAAGCCGACTCATCATCGTGCCATCCAAACAGCATGGAGCCGGCTTTCTGACCAATCAGTAAGCCGGGTGGCGAGTCATTACCCGTTTTCCTGATTGGCCGGGAAGCTGGCACCATGTTCCATTTGCAGCTCTGCCAGTCAGAGAAAATCTCCCTCTGACCGGAAGTTCCAGTATCGGAGCATTTGGGCTAGTATGAGTATTCACCCAAATACTTGGTATCGGCACCAATACCGATACTAGTGTCAGTGCATCCCTACTTTGGAGTGTTGAAGGAAACCCATGCAAGTACAAGGTAAGCATGCAAACTCCTTGCAGATAGTGTCCTGACCGGGATTTGAACCGGGGACCCCCATTACTGTAAGGCATTCTAGCAACTAATGTATGTCACTTTTCAAGTCAAGCTTCTCAATGGTGACAACGGTGAAACATGCCTGTAGCATGGGCACCAACAGTGCTGCTTGTACCCTCCATTTGGATAGCATGTGACAGGGTTACAGCACAGGAGAACTACTAGAAAGTGGGGCCAGAGTGTTGTTACCCTCTAGTAGGAAGTGCCTGAACAAGGACCTTTATTTAATGAAAGCTGCAGTTTAAAGGCAAATTGAAAATGACTTGAAATTGCTTTAATATTTTTAAGCTTATGAGATTTTAGTGTTCTTCTGTTACAGTGCATCTGTGGTG